TTACATTTGTCCATTAATTGATATTTTAACATGTCACCACCTAGGGTCCTCTACCTTTCAACCTCTGTCTTCTTTCTCCTCTTTTTTTCTCCACTTCCTTGCCTGCCTTCCCAATAATGTTTGTCGTTCCCAGTATGAGCGGTACATTCTGACTTCGCAGACGTTGTTTGATGAACCTTCATCAATCGGTCCTGTCCATGGCTCTGCTTCTAGTTTATTTTCATGCACTCACATGTTGTCAAAGTTTATTACATGCTATACTTTAGTTAGGAAACAAATAAAACACCTTCATGTAAACCATTCATCAGTTGATGGGATGGTGAGAACATAGTTGTATAGAAGCGCAGACTGGCCATTGAGGAATCCTCAACCAAATACCTGGTGGGTTGCTATGGCCATGAACCAAGGACGACAGTGGAGATCAAAGGAGGTGACGACCCAACACCCCCCTCGGACCCCACATCCTCCTAAGCCACTCTGACTTAAATGCCCTTTAAATGCCATTAGCCATTGACTAGTGAAAATACCGCCATGGCGAGTAGAAATTCACCCCAGGTAAGTGTGTCCTAGGCCCTCCAGACTTGCTGGGCAAGTAACTATTTGGCCTGGCTAGCAGTGAAGGACTTGAAATGTGAAACTCTGGAATGGAGATTAGGAAACCATGATGGGAATGGTGTCTATTTTCTAAGTGTTTATGATCTGAAAAAGATAAAGAATGGGTGGGGATCGGGATATGGTGAAAAAAATGTAAAATGATTAATGGGGGACGCTCATCAAGTGAATAAAATGCCAAAATGAAATGGCACGTGATGCAAAGTGCGGTAAAACGTTGAGTCTTAATTGAAGGATTCACAGGTTGTGATGGGGGGTCATTTGCAGTAAAATGCAGGACTCATGGAGCAGATCCACCTCTACAAACTAATACAGTGAATAGATCGGGGATCGTTTCATTCCAATATTTATTATTGTTTCTTCATTGACTCACAATGATACTAAACCCTACACACCTCACCCCGGCTCATGGTGCCATAAACACAATATTATCACCAAGCTGCAAGGTGACTCTGCCCCCTTCAGGAATAATCAGGGTATTACACTGCTTGGCCTGAACTGCAGATCCCCATACAATCTATCTAATAATCTGCTCTTTAAACTTGAGCGGATGCCCAGAAGCAATGTTTGCTCTGTTTTGCATATATCCATTCTAGATAAACACACGATAAGTATTTATTTCGAGACAGAAATGAGCCGGGACTTAACAAAATATTTAACTGCCATAATCCCTGTAACGGGGTTAGAGGTTTTCGTATTTATTATTCCACTTGCCAGGTATGTCCTTGTATTCTGTCTCTACAGACAGAGTTTTAGATTATTTAGATTAACACAATGCCGAGTACCTCGGCTATCTTATTTTTATTTTATTTATAGGGAGAAACCATTTAGATTGCACCACAGGGTATTAAATTCCTATTATACTACACGTGTGATATGTGAAAGGAATGATATATTATTACATTATACATACGTTATTAAGTAACCTCTTTATTGAAATATATAATATTGTTGTTTCTTTGATTAAAGGTAGTAAGATATTTTAGTTTTTTGATTTGTATCATTTTACTTTACATTTTAAAGTTAATGTTTAATATCCTGTTTAATTATCCATTATGTTTAATTAATATGTGTTTGTGAGCTCTGAAAATTAAATATTAAATATAGAAAACGTGGTGTGTCCCAGATCAGGGAATTCTAAATATGTTTGTCCAGTTTACTTTAATTGTGTTTGCCGATATCCGCTTCCTGCATTCTGGAGATGCCATTAGTTAATTCTGAGCTCACTGTATTTTTCTGGTTATTAAATATGAATGGAATTCCAGTGGATTCTGAGCACATATTCTGATCATCAAAGTCGTTGATCAGTTGATCATCTGCCCATCAAATCTGAATAGGTTTTATTTTGCTTTTTTTTTACTTATTATATTTTGTTAAGATCACAGGGTTTTATGGGACACACTAAGCACATAATCACGGGAGTTCATTATAAAACTCATTATATGATTACAGGTCATTGTTGTGGTTATGGTGCTATGAGTCTGTGAGGTTTAGCGTCGCTCTGTCCTGCTGCTTTGGAGCATTATGAATACATCCAACCATGGGCACAAATGTTAGGCCGATAAACTCTCTCTCAGTTGGTTTGCCTTTCCAAGTTGGATAGGGAAGCCTTGTATTTTCTGCCTTAACGGTACGGGTACAGACAGGCTATGGGTGCTACGGAGAGTCCCAGTTTTACTTAAACCACCGTAGTGGTTATGGTGCTTGGCGTTTAAGTGGGAAGTGGTAGCCCTCTTCAAGAACCCGCAGCAAAAGGAAAAAAATTGGCAAATTGCATAATATAGATACATAATTATTGTTCAACTATTTTCAGTATGAAATTAACAGAAAAACAAATGGAAAAAAATATGGAGAGAGAGAGAGAGAGAGAAAGTACACAAATAAATAGAATGTAAATCAATACAAATTTATAATTCAAATTCACTTTTTTAAGTCCTGTTCATGCAGTTAGTTAAGTGAAATATCTATTTGTAAAAGCAAATTAGAATAAAAACTATTGCTATTGCTATATATAGCCTAAGATTTGCAAGTAAACTGTGGAAAACACAGCTAGCGTTTAATAAAATGTAGCAATTTGATGTGTTTTACGCAAATTATGACCCACTGCTTCTTCGACACACTATGCAACGTCTCCGGTTCAGAGTAGACCCTCTCCTATAGCTCAATCCTGGGTAAAATTCAGCAATTTTCCATCTTTTCTTTTCCTTTCTTTCCATGGAGGGAATGCTGATGTTGCCCTGATTAAATGTTTTGGAAGTCAGGGATGGATTGGGCAGAGAGAATCAATTCTCTGAACTCTGTTGGCTGACTGGCATCGAGAAAGCATACCTACCAAATGCCAACTTTCTGAAGTGGAATCTGCTAAACACAGAGGGCTAGGAAACTGGCACGAGGGGGCTCGACAGTGGTTTTGGGGATGGAAGGCTAATGTGGACTCGGAAGAAGTTTGTTCTGGAAAAAAAACACGAATTCATTGAATAAAGAGCCAATATTGTAGGTTGCCCCGCATTGCTCAGAGCTCACATAACGAAGGTCTTGTTTGTCTGCCAAAGGAACCCTTAAAATTGGCACGCTATTCAATAACGCTTTAAGGCCCAAATTGCAGTTTGTTTCTTTATCCCAGGTTGAATTAAGGCTGTTAAATCAGAAGATAGGGCCATGGAACACATATAGGACATCACAAAATAGAGCAATTCTGGATGAAAATGATACATTTGGACAATTTGCTGTGGAAGTCACTAGAATATCACTTTCAGAGCATCAGTTTTACCTCTTGGCATTGTAAAGTCAGCCCCATCTATAAATCCTGGCAGTCACACGGCACCCTCTGGATTGTACACTAAACTGTGAATTTATCCTGAATTACACAGTTCAGACCAAAATAGCTGAATTGAAAATATAACAAACTTTATTTTTGCAGTTCGTCTAGTGTGACCAAAATGTAAAATTCACTTTAATTCCCAGAGTTAATAATACATTTATAGATTTTTAGATATTTTATTTTAATGTCCTATCGATCAATCGATTCTCGACAGATGTATTTATATAAAATAAATGTTTGACTGCTTTTTTTAATCTGTGAATATAGTGAAGAAATGGGGTGGCTCATAAAAGTAAACCCGTTTTTAACGATGTTTATAATTAAAGATGCACACAGTACTCAACGGACATTCCAACAAGGCGTACAGCGTTACATGAATTTGTATAAATACTGTAACTGTATCGTTATGTTAAAGGCACCAAGACCACTTCATGTCAATGAATTTTCTGGGGGCAGTGGTCCTTTCGTTTTAACCTTCAATCTAAAACATTGTCGTTTAGTAGATACGTTCGTAGATGTCTTCCTACTTCCTGAAAGTCGCAAGAAGATTGGGCGTGACGTTGCAGGAGAGATGAGTAAAATCTTTTCTCCCCCAATTTTTGTGTAGATTTGGTGTAGTTACATTGGCATGTTTTAGTAGATCAAGATGTCTGTCATATTTGGAGAGTAGCAGTTTAGTGAGGCTGATACAATGTACGAAGGCTATCTTATGGATTGGCACCTGACATCAAATAGCAAATGAAAACATAATCGTGTTTAATATTCCAATTGCAATTAAGGTAACCCAGTGTGATACAGTTGATCATGGATTGAGCACGTTGCCATGGCGATACTTTATCCTAGAGGCAGTGCAGGGTGATACATTGTTGTTTCAGGCAGGTGTACGTTGCCATGGTGATGCAGTATTGTATCATTGAGGCAGTGTAGGGTGATACAGTGTTGTTTCAGGCAGGTGTACGTTGCCATGGTGATGCAGTATTGTATCCTAGAGGCAGTGCAGGGTGATACATTGTTGTTTCAGGCAGGTGTACGTTGCCATGGTGATGCAGTATTGTATCATTGAGGCAGTGCAGGGTGATACAGTGTTGCTTCAGGCAGGTGTACGTTGCCATGGTGATGCAGTATTGTATCATTGAGGCAGTGTAGGGTGATACAGTGTTGTTTCAGGCAGGTGTACGTTGCCATGGTGATGCAGTATTGTATCATTGAGGCAGTGCAGGGTGATACAGTGTTGTTTCAGGCAGGTGTACGTTGCCATGGTGATGCAGTATTGTATCATTGAGGCAGTGTAGGGTGATACAGTGTTGTTTCAGGCAGGTGTACGTTGCCATGGTGATGCAGTATTGTATCATTGAGGCAGTGCAGGGTGATACAGTGTTGCTTCAGGCAGGTGTACGTTGCCATGGTGATGCAGTATTGTATCCTAGAGGCAGTGCAGGGTGATACAGTGTTGCTTCAGGCAGGTGTACGTTGCCATGGTGCTGCAGTATTGTATCATTGAGGCAGTGCAGGGTGATACATTGTTGATTCAGGCAGGTGTACGTTGCCATGGTGATGCAGTATTGTATCATTGAGGCAGTGCAGGGTGATACATTGTTGATTCAGGCAGGTGTTCGTTGCCATGGTGATGCAGTATTGTATCATTGAGGCAGTGTAGGGTGATACACTGTTGTTTCAGGCAGGTGTACGTTGCCATGGTGATGCAGTATTGTATCATTGAGGCAGTGTAGGTGATACAGTGTTGCTTCAGGCAGGTGTTCGTTGCCATGGTGATGCAGTATTGTATCATTGAGGCAGTGCAGGGTGATACATTGTTGATTCAGGCAGGTGTACGTTGCCATGGTGCTGCAGTATTGTATCCTAGAGGCAGTGCAGGGTGATACAGTGTTGCTTCAGGCAGGTGTACGTTGCCATGGTGATGCAGTATTGTATCATTGAGGCAGTGTAGGGTGATACAGTGTTGTTTCAGGCAGGTGTACGTTGCCATGGTGATGCAGTATTGTATCATTGAGGCAGTGCAGGGTGATACAGTGTTGTTTCAGGCAGGTGTACGTTGCCATGGTGATGCAGTATTGTATCATTGAGGCAGTGCAGGGTGATACAGTGTTGCTTCAGGCAGGTGTACGTTGCCATGGTGATTCAGTATTGTATCCTAGAGGCAGTGCAGGGTGATACAGTGTTGCTTCAGGCAGGTGTACGTTGCCATAGTGATACAGCAGTCAAGACACAAACAACAGCTAACTGTCTCTTCAATGACCTTCCAGCAGGTAAAGGAAGAATGATGAAATCAGAACAAGGAATGAAGATTCTTTCTAAGATCCTCAATTTACATGAGATAGTCAACTGTGTTAAAGGGAAAGAGCAAGGGATTCTTTGCTGTTCCTTTAAGTGTAAAGCCCCCTCCTCTGAAATGAGTATTACACTAAGATAGAATCTTTATGAAATACTCAGATTGACTGAAATCCATCCCAGTCAAAACATATACTGCGACAAAGCAGGGACTACTTCCCTACGCATGACACGGGGCGAAATTGCCGCCGTCAAGGCGTGTCTATCCCCCCAGCTGCCCACCAGTGAAATTAAGCTCTTTCTATTGAGGATCCTGTGGTCTTGTGAGATCCTCCATAGTCCTCAATGCTGTACTCTAGCGAACAAGCGAGGATACAGCATTGTAGCCGGCTCCTGGCAACTGAAGTGCGAGAAGATGATGGTGGCGCCCGCGAGGGACAGGTTCAGGTAAGTAAATCTCACCTTTCCCTGCCCATTTCTCCCCCCTCCCCTCCTCTTCCCCTGCCAAAATGACAAAGCCAATGTCGATGGTTTAGCAAATTATGTAAAGACCCCACATCATGACAGAACCGTTTTAAGTGATATGTTTTGCATCCTTCTATTTGCGACGGTAAAGTCCATTGAAGCAATATTAACTCCAAATTAAGCTAGTGACTGCCATCCAATGGGAATGCTCCTGAACCCAGTACTTTAACATCTACAGAAATGTAAGATTTAGGGGTTACCTCGGTTTGATCCAGTGAGGATATTAGAAAAGCAGGATTTCTGATAATCTGTGAGAGCTGGTTGAGAAGCTAAACTGTCACAATGTAATAAAACCAGCCGATAACTGGAAACGTGGAGAATTCAATGTTATTAATTTACCCACTGACAGAACCTGAAATATCTAGAAATAGCAGCTTGCACTCTACAATGGGGCTCTGATTCCAAATAGACTGCTCCACTTTCCAGAGCTTAGTGAGTACCCTGAGAGCCCACAAAATAACAAAACTGCCCATTTTGGCCTGAACATTTGCAATTCCCTGTTACCCTGACTTCCTCTGCGTAATGTAACATCAGGATTTCTCTCCCAGAAACCTTGTTATGTACTTAGGAACGTCCAGGGTAAATGTAGGCAGAGTTTAGCAGAATTGCCCCTTTTACCCCCAGCAGTCCCCGTGTGAAAGTGGCCTTGAAGATATCACACTCACAAAGTGACATAGAGCCTGCAGCTGGTCCATAAATGGTTCAGGCAAGACGTGCGAGTTGAGAAATATTGATGTTGGGCAGATGTAGTCGGCGATCCGGACTATAAATGACCTAATCAGACACTTTCTTGGCAGAGATTCAGGACAGCTCCTTGTGCTTGGGGAGGGAGTTGTCATACATTGATATCAATAATGTCTTTCCTGGGGATCCCAAGAGTGACATGAGGCTCCAGCAGGAATCTGCTGGCTCCGGCTTCTATTCACCTGTTCCTCTGCTCACAGGCTGAGCTGCGAATATCCAGACAGCACGTCTTCCTAAAAGCTTAAGAGATCCTTAACATGAAAAGCACAGTCTATCACCACACAGTCTGCCCAGAACATTTCCTGCCTTAAGTCTGGCCATCCTTTCAAGCGTTTCGGGATGGGAAACCAGGAGAACCTCCATCCAACATAATCTATGGCAGTCAGGCCGTGCTTCTTCTAGATCAGTGGAATAGCCATCTTTGTGCCCAGACTGTCTTGCCCTGGTTCCTCAGACTTGCTCCAAGTCTCTGTGGTGGGATTATGGGTTAAGATGTAAATAAAGGTCCGGGTGCGTTCAGTGAAATTAGAAACAGAATGTTTTATCTTCATATTCAGTAATGTCGGTGCATATGTTCCTCTGTATTGAAGGTACACTCAAAGCAACTTTAGCTAAAAGGAGTGGTTTTGGTGTATAGATCATGCCCCTTCAGTTTTAACTGCTCGATTCTTTGCCATTTAAGAGTTAAATCACTCTGTTTATACAGCTCCTGTCCCCCCTCCCTGCATGTTACCTACACTGCCTTCCTAAACACTTCCTGTGAAGAGTCATCTAATGTTTACACTTCCTTTATTACAAATTCTGTTTAATTTAGAATTTCTTATCTCCTGCTCTGTTAATAGCTTACTAGACCCTGCAGAAGCATCATGTATGTAATTAAACTTCAAATTACAGAGCAAGAGATAGAAACTTCTAAAGTAAACATGCTGTGCTGTAAGATCTGATTGAAAATTAGACATTTTTTTAACATGCAGGCTGTGTCAGTCACAGCCAGGGGAGGCTGCATGGACAGAAACAAAAGTGATTCGCCTCCTAATTGGCAGAAAATTAAGCAGTGCGACTGCAGGGACATGATCTATACACCACAACTGCTTCATTAAGCTAAAGCTGTTTTGGCGTTTGGTGGATGAATGGAAAGCTGTGTCGATGATGTGTGTATTCAGATATACAAAGCCCTGAACAAGAAGTGATATGTTTGTGAGAGCTGCAGTAAACTTACTGGCACGCAATCTCTTTTGCCAATGTCTTACTAGACTCTCTTTGTTACGAAAGAGATCCCTAGTTTCCCTGATTGCATGTAAGACAGATTTCTGTCCCTCTCTAACATTGGAGTCTGCTATCTGGGTTCCACCGTGACCTAGGCGGCATTGTCTGCGAAGAACCCGTCAGTTCTGTGGAGACCGGTACTCCGCAGGTCTCCCATTCTCACTGCTTAGCTGCACCGTCTTCATTAGTAGGAACACCCCAAAAATATATACAAAAACATGGGTAATAATTAGTGACCACTGTGACTTCAGGAGGGCTACATGCAAATGCAAGGTGTGAACGCAGGACTTGGGACAAGTTATTATTGCCCATTAGGACAGACGGCCTCAGAGCTGACCAGAGGGACTATTTGTAGTAAATCAGGACACATGGCACACAGTATTGCTTAGTCACGGAGCCCCTCTACTGGAATGTTCATTAGGAACAAACAAGAAATCTGCACGTGGAGTATAGCGCCACCTGGTGTCCAGTTACAAATTCCTAGCATTTACTCTGAGAGTGGAACTTCTTACTTTCATTTCAGACTTTGGCCTCTATTTAAAACTCTTCCTGGATAAACCTTTAAAATTATATTAAATACTAAAATATCCACACAAAAAAAATCAACAAAATGTAAAAGTATATGAAAGTATTAAACTATTTGAAAAGCTTTTACAAAAGTAGAAAATGTAAAGCTTTCATTTGAGGATGATTTGTGGCTTTCAGTAAGTCTCTACAAAACACACACAGCATTAATCCCAAAACTACAGATTGTGCCAATCTGACAAGGAGATTGCAATAACTCATATAGACGTTTGACCATTTTCTGTTATCATTGATTGACTCTTATTTAAGATTTTAAAATCAACAAAAAAAGTGTGTGTGTATAATACGTTTTATCTTTTTGTGTGTGTGTGTTTATAATGCATGTTTCCTCTTTTCCTCTTTGTGTGTGTGTGTCTGTTTATAATGCATGTTTCCTCTGTGTGTGTGTGTGTGTGTGCGTGTGTGTGTGTCTATATAATGCATGTTTCATCTTTTTGTGTGTGTTTATAATGCATGTTTCCTCTGTGTGTGTGTGTGTGTGTGTGCTTGTGTGTGTGTCTATACAATGCATATTTCATCTTTTTGTGTGTGTGTGTGTGTGTGTCTATATAATGCATATTTCATCTTTTTGTGTGTGTGTGTGTGTGTCTATATAATGCATGTTTCATCTTTTTGTGTGTGTTTATAATGCATGTTTCCTCTGTGTGTGTGTGTGTGCTTATAATGCATGTTTTATCTTTTTGTGTGTGTATATAATGCATGTTTCCTCTGTGTGTGTGTATATAATGCATGTTTCCTCTGTGTGTGTGTGTGTGTGTGTGTGTGTGTGCGTGTGTATATAATGCATGTTTCCTCTGTGTGTGTGTGTGTGCTTATAATGCATGTTTCATCTTTTTGTGTGTGTGTGTGTGTCTATATAATGCATGTTTCATCTTTTTGTGTGTGTATATAATGCATGTTTCCTCTGTGTGTGTGTGTGTGTGTGTGTGTGTATAATGCATGTTTCATCTTTGTGTGTATGTATAATGCATGTTTCCTCTCTGTGTGTGTGTGTGTGTGTGTGTCTATATAATGCATGTTTCATCTTTTTGTGTGTGTTTATAATGCATGTTTCCTCTGTGTGTGTGTGTTGTAGAATTATTAGGCCTCTATAAATCTGTAAGGCCCCTTTAAATCCTCTTGCTATACCTCTAAGAGGCCCCCATAGTTTTACAAGAAAGCTTTGTCTATAGAACATAGAATTTGCATGTCAGCAAGAAATAGCTTTGATAAAATGTGTATTTACTAAAAGCCTTGAAACCTAGCCTTGAGAAAGTAACAAGTGCCAGTTACGCTCTAAATGGATAGCTGCCAAAAGGCCCCTCCCGTCGAGTAAGCTCCTCATGTTAGCAAAATGGCGCTAAAACCTGGGGGAGAAAA